GTATCTGACGAGAAACCCCTGTAAACACACACACAGGTATCTGATACACATGTACAGTTAGGACAGGTATCTGACATGAAACCCCTGTAAACACACACACGGTATTTGATACACATGTACAGTTAGGACAGGTATATGACATGAAACCCCTGTAAACACACACACAGGTATTTGATGCAGATGTACAGTTAGGACAAGTATCTGATGTGAAACCCCTGTAAACACACACACAGGTATCTGATACACACATGTACAGTTAGGACAAGTATCTGATGTGAAACCCCTGTAAACACACACACAGGTATCTGATACACACATGTACAGTTAGGACAAGTATCTGATGTGAAACCCCTGTAAACACACACACACGGTATCTGATACACACATGTACAGTTAGGACAAGTATCTGATGTGAAACCCCTGTAAACACACACACGGTATCTGATACACACATGTACAGTTAGGACAGGTATCTGACATGAAACCCTGTAAACACACACACAGGTATCTGATGCACATGTACAGTTAGGACAAGTATCTGACGTGAAACCCCTGTAAACACACACACAGGTATCTGATACACACATGTACAGTTAGGACAGGTATCTGATGTGAAACCCCTGTAAACACACACACAGGTATCTGATACACACATGTACAGTTAGGACAAGTATCTGATGTGAAACCCCTGTAAACACACACACGGTATCTGATACACACATGTACAGTTAGGACAGGTATCTACGTGAAACCCCTGTAAACACACACACACGTATCTGATACACACATGTACAGTTAGGACAAGTATCTGATGTGAAACCCCTGTAAACACACACACGGTATCTGATACACACATGTACAGTTAGGACAGGTATATGACATGAAACCCCTGTAAACACACACACAGGTATTTGATGCAGATGTACAGTTAGGACAAGTATCTGACGTGAAACCCCTGTAAACACACACACGGTATCTGATACACACATGTACAGTTAGGACAGGTATCTGATGTGAAACCCCTGTAAACACACACACAGGTATCTGATACACACATGTACAGTTAGGACAAGTATCTGACGTGAAACCCCTGTAAACACACACACGGTATCTGATACACACATGTACAGTTAGGACAGGTATCTAACGTGAAACCCCTGTAACACACACACGGTATCTGATACACATATGTACAGTTAGGACAAGTATCTGACGTGAAACCCCTGTAAACACACACACGGTATCTGATACACACATGTACAGTTAGGACAGGTATCTGATGTGAAACCCCTGTAAACACACACACAGGTATCTGATACACACATGTACAGTTAGGACAGGTATCTGATGTGAAACCCCTGTAAACACACACACGGTATCTGATACACACATGTACAGTTAGGACAGGTATCTAACGTGAAACCCCTGTAACACACACACGGTATCTGATACACATATGTACAGTTAGGACAAGTATCTGACGTGAAACCCCTGTAAACACACACACGGTATCTGATACACACATGTACAGTTAGGACAAGTATCTGATGTGAAACCCCTGTAAACACACACACAGGTATCTGATACACACATGTACAGTTAGGACAGGTATCTGATGTGAAACCCCGTAAACACACACACGGTATCTGATACACACATGTACAGTTAGGACAAGTATCTGATGTGAAACCCCTGTAAACACACACACGGTATCTGATACACACATGTACAGTTAGGACAGGTATCTGACGTGAAACCCTGTAAACACACACACGGTATCTGATACACATATGTACAGTTAGGACAAGTATCTGACGTGAAACCCCTGTAAACACACACACGGTATCTGATACACACATGTACAGTTAGGACAAGTATCTGATGTGAAACCCCTGTAAACACACACACAGGTATCTGATACACACATGTACAGTTAGGACAGGTATCTGATGTGAAACCCCTGTAAACACACACACGGTATCTGATACACATATGTACAGTTAGGACAAGTATCTGACGTGAAACCCCTGTAAACACACACACGGTATCTGATACACACATGTACAGTTAGGACAAGTATCTGATGTGAAACCCCTGTAAACACACACACGGTATCTGATACACACATGTACAGTTAGGACAGGTATCTAACGTGAAACCCCTGTAAACACACACACGGTATCTGATACACACATGTACAGTTAGGACAAGTATCTGACGTGAAACCCCTGTAAACACACACACGGTATCTGATACACACATGTACAGTTAGGACAAGTATCTGACGTGAAACCCCTGTAAACACACACACGGTATCTGATACACACATGTACAGTTAGGACAAGTATCTGACGTGAAACCCCTGTAAACACACACACAGGTATCTGATACACACATGTACAGTTAGGACAAGTATCTGACGAGAAACCCCTGTAAACACACACATGGTATCTGATACACATGAACAGTTAGGACAGGTATCTGACGTGAAACCCCTGTAAACACACACACGGTATCTGATACACACATGTACAGTTAGGACAGGTATCTGATGTGAAACCCCTGTAAACACACACACAGGTATCTGATACACATGTACAGTTAGGACAGGTATATGACATGAAACCCCTGTAAACACACACACGGTATTTGATACACATGTACAGTTAGGACAGGTATCTGACGAGAAACCCCTGTAAACACACACACAGGTATCTGATGCAGATGTACAGTTAGGAAAAGTATCTGATGTGAAATCCCTGTAAACACACACACAGGTATCTGATACACATGTACAGTTAGGACAAGTAACGTTTGCTAACGTGTGACGTGAAACTACTTACATTGGAATCCTTCCGCATCTTTTACAAAAAGTTTTTACAAAAAAAAAAATCTTTTACAAAACCTTTACAAAACGTTTGCCTCTTAATCATAATAAACCCTAAAAAAATTACAGAATCCGCTGTTTTGTCCTTGATTGTCCATGGCTGTTTAACCAGTCTGCTCTTCATCATCAATCAGTTCAGTAATTTGAAAAGCATGCATGAAGAAGGCACTATACTCTGCGCATGTGTGGTGACCTGCAAATTATCTTTTTTTTTTTTGGAAAGGGGTGTGATGGCCACACCCTCGGAAATGCCCCGTGTGTGTCACGGGACTGAAACCCCTGTACTTTAGTGAATCCCCTATCAGAATCCAGAGTTTCAAGAAGATCAGAGAAACCTTTTTTTTTGCACCGAAAAAGTCGTTTTTTTTAAAAAAGTTTTTTTCGTGTCAAAATTTTGAGTTTCTCTGATCTTCTTGAAACTCTGGATTCTGATAGAGGGCCATGGGACTTAGAACTGAGTGCAAAAATGGAGGCTCTAGACCCTTCCAGAGCTGAGATATTGAGATATGTATAACGGCATAAATGCTACGTGGGATCTCAATATCTCAGCTCTGGATATAAATAGTGAGTTCGCAGACAGTGGAATTTTGGGACGGCGCTTGGTGCTACGGACCTCGGGGGGCCTCCTGAGTGAGGTAAAATTGTTTTGTTTTTTTCACGACAGGAACTTTAATTAAAATGTCTATCAAAAACACTACCCGAATCCCCATTCAATAGATTGCCGGTGGGACCGCGTCCAATTGCAGCATATTGAATGAACTGCGGAAAAACTTTTAAAAATATAGTGGGTTATTGGACAAATAGTGGGTTCGTGGGATGGGGGTGTGGCCCAGGAGTGGTCCCGGGACATTTGGTAAACATAGAGGGTTATTGGACAAACAGTGGGTTCGTGGGGGGGGGGGGGGGGGGGGTGGCCCATCTGACGGCCCATCTGGGGTAGTCCCGTGACATTTGGGAAATAAATAGTAGGTTATTGGACAAATAGTGGGTTCATGGGAGTGGGCGGGGGGTGGTCCCGTGACATTTGGCAAAAATAGTGGGTTCGTTGGATGGGGGCGTGTCCGGGGAAGGGTCAGTGGGTGGGGGGGGGCCGGTCGCCCTGTGGAAGCGGTGGTCGGTCGGACGAATAGTGGGTTCGTGGAACGGAAGGGTGGCTCCACCGAGGGGGCATTTGCGGAACTGTCCCGAAACTTCGGGCTCCTCCTGTCGGCCCCCCGGGGGCCCCGCCCGCCTCATCTCTTTCGGCGAGGCCCGGGGGTGCCGTCGGCCAGCCCCCCAAAAATTTCGGGGAGCCGGCGCGCTCGTCCGCCAACCCACGTCCGTTTGCCTACGGTCCAAGGACGGAATGGACCTTTTTTTCGGCCTTGGACTAGCTAGAGTTACTGGAAATCGAAATACAGTGACTTGCTGGCAAACGTCCTGCCAGTACTGTAAAAATACAAGAAAACACAGGATGCACACAGGAAATGACTCTAACATGAATGCATTGACTGATTCCTAGGTTTATTTTGTTATGAATAAACAAATGTGCAATATAAAGGAAAAAACTTACGATTAAAGTTGTAATGTTATAATGTTCTAAAAAAAGAAAGATGCACACAGAAAATGAGTCTAATATGACCAGATTGATTGATTCGAATATATTTAGTTTGTTACAAACAATGTGCAATCTGCAAAACAAAAACCTCAAAATTATAGTTGAAATGGTATACTGCTGGAATTTTTTTGACCTTGATAAAAAGCTTAAAGTATAGACCAACAAATTTTATGTTTATTAATTTATTACATGTTGGTACATTTTTGGGAAGTACACCTGTTTTGACCTGATGTCCATTGGAACGGACAAAAAAAAAAATCACAATGAAAGCAATTATATATATATATATATATATATATATATATATAAAATTGGGAATCTGGGAAAATGTACTTGTATATTTTTCAGAAACTTGAAACATAATTCAGGTCTGAGGGGGTTAAGGAAAATAGGTAAAATAAGCCTTCAATCAATATATTTATTTTTAATAACTCATTTGTGAAAAAATTTGCTTAAAGAGTTATCACTATCACCACAACCCTTACAGCCCAATAAATCAATACATTCTACAGCCAATAATAATATAAATTCTTTTTAATATATCATTATTAGGTCATGAGACAATAATGAAATCAGTATTACATTGTATCCAAATCCAGTAAACACAGAGTATTAAGGAGAAAGTGGAACAGAGCAGCAGAATACCGTTTAAACATCTGAATACAGTTCATCATTAAGCCTTGTGTGACAGAGGCACAATGCATATCTCAAAACATGTGCTAATACATCTCCAATCCAACATGACATGATATTTCCCTAGACCCTGGCTGGAAGCTCAACTGAACTAAAGTGAATTTATTTTTACGCCATTACTGTAAACCTGATATTATCACATTATAAGAATTCAGTCCTTTCAAATCTACAAAAAGTCCTGAGTAAGTGGCTTATGAGTAACAATGGGTCAGCTGCAACACTAATACCATAAACTCCTGGTGGTCTGTCATGAGGCAAAACGAAACCTGAAGCAAATACATCAACGGTGGAACCGTCTGTTAGAGAAACATGTAAACATGCTGGTGACAGATAGTGAGGGTTTTTTTTTAAACACGTGCTGATATCAGTCAAATTAAGCAAAAAAATGTATGGAGGCACTTTTAAAATAAAAGTTAATAGACATGGGGTAGAAATATGGGCTGTAAAAAAAAAGATGTTGCTATTAATTAGTGTAAGAAACACCTCTGGATAGACTCTCACGCGAGCAGATGTTGAGAAGAGAGAAACTAGTGGAGTGGAGCATGAAAAGAGAGCATCCCATCACACTGCAGAGACTGCAAAACAATTGCAAAAAAAAATTATTATATATTGTAAAAACATAAAATGTATTGTAAGGAAAGCACTCCTTAGCAGTTATTCCTCCACATATAAACAAAGGCAGCGATATACACGATTTACAGTGTTAATAAAATACTTTTTGTTGCTATTTTCAGTAAAAAAACAAAAAAAACAAACAGTAAGATGCCATTTATACATAGTGCAAAAAGTGCCAGATATTATTTGCACCTCAATGTATTGTAGTATATTATAAAAATTATTGTATTTATTAAAATTGTTTGACTTGTCCCTGTACACAAAAGCTACCCACTAATCACTTTATACCAACTATTCTATACCCATGAGGCATTTTATTTCCACTTTTGGAACATTTTCTTAATTTTTATTTAAAACAAACTCCTCTCAGAGCTGATATGCGATGGGAAAAGATAAAAGATGAATTTGAACTTCGGTTGGCAGTGTCAAAAGCTAACTCTCCACAACACTGATCCAATTATCAGTTGCTTCTGTATTTTTGTCTGGGTCAATTAGACAATTGGTGGGCAGAGTAAGTGTAATAAACATAAACCATCAGCACATCTTTACTCACCATAACATTAAACAAGCGCATCATTCGTCTGCGGCAGACATGCCTTTCGCTGGTTCGGTCTCTCGCATCTATGGGCAGAAAAAAAGGAAAAATTTCAGACTTGTCAATGTTAGATATTTAATTATGGATGCTTCATTCAATTTTTACTTTTAGACCTTTGCTATCATCTAGCACTCACTTAAAGTTAATCTTTAAAACATTAATAATTTAAGAACACTGTTAAATGTAATCTTTACCAAAACTCAAAATGAAAAATACATTTAACGTAGATTATAATGTTGCCCAAATTAATGTGTAGCATTTCAACTGAATGATTCTAGTGATTTAAATAAATTATAATATTCGCCATTTATATCAAGGTTCATTCAGATTGTCAAAAAATACAAAACTTGGGATCAGGTGCAGGACAACTGAGTGAAGTAAACAAAAATAAAGAGGTGTGAAGTCTGCACACTGAAAGGTAATGCTCCAAAAATGTATTAAAAGGCAACGTTTCGACCCTCAGGTCTTCATCAGGCACAGCCTGATGAATAATAAATATCTTTATTTTCATACAGATATTGTAAAATTAAATTCCAGGAGTTTCAATGACTTTAAGCACTACTTTTTTGGTTTTCAAGGACTACAATCAGAGATCACTTATCAAACAACATCTTTAATACCTTTCAAATTCTAAAAAAGCTAAATACATAGACAAAAATAAAATAATAAAACAAAATGGTACAAATAAAGTGCACCTTAACCATTGAAAGGATACTATGACAAAGATATCGCTTTCCTTGTTTTTTTTCCCCTCCCATTTAATACATGATTGACCTGAAGAATGAATGTTATATCATATACATGGATATTTATGAGCAATATCACACTCATACCCTCGTAAAAGGGTTCTAATTTCTATATCAGACGTGTTGCAGCATTAATTCTGAGTGAAAAGATAAACACTAATTTCACATATATAGTCTTTTAATAATTTAAGCATTTTTCCAAGTACCTTTTTATAAAAAAACCCCGTCTGTTTTCAAGGGTTTTCCAGGAGTTAAATTTCAAAAAGTCAAATTCAAGTACTTTAAGCACCTTGTACGAACACCACTAGACCCCATGGTCTCGGCAATAACTTTAATATCAGTGTATCCATAAATGAAATATGGGTTAAATATCTCCTCTGACCAAGGCCATTCAGCACTGAATCTTTACTGCATTCAGTGTTCATTTAGTATTATTTATATACTATTAATATTTTGAATTAGCTTTTATCTTTATATTTTCACTTTAGTCATGTGCTTGTCATTTTTATTCAGTTTTTTGAATATATTTAGCCTTCATTTATTTACGTTTTAGTTGTTTTAATACTTTTTTTTAGAACTTAACGTAAATAAGTTACGTTTTTTATCTGATATTGAAATAAATCTGAAATAAAATATATATATATTTTTTTAAATAGTTTTAATTAACAATAAGACAGTACTGAATCTTATTTGAAAACCTGTGAATATTAGAACAGATTGTGTTACACTGTCTGTACGCTGTTGCTGATAACTCACGTTATCAAGTTCTTTCTGCGTCTCCTCCTCCATGCGGCGGATGTCCTCCATGGTCAGATTGATCCACCGGTCTATCCAGCAGAAGAGCTGCCTGTGAAAGTTGGTGAACAGACGCTTCTCTTGCTGAATTCAAACCAAACAAACATTAAAGTTTTATGAGTCACGGCATGAGCACTAGGCCGACACACAAACATCAAGCCCTCAAATAAAATGAACAAACATCAAAATCCATCATGGAGGTGCAGTTTAGAAAGATAAACAGTTAGTGAGTCAAACTGAACACAGCATGAGGTATTTTAAAGTTTAATACCCTGTGGATGAAACTCTCCACTTTATTCTGCAGGCCAAACCACTTGAACTTGACAGTGACTAGTTTATAGGCACACATATGAGGACAGTCCGTCTTCTGAGGAAGTTCTTTCTGCAACGCACAGGAACAAAGTTGATCAACTGCAGAACTCAGGAGCTATATATCTAGAAACAATTCAAGAAAGAATACAGACCTTCCAGTCAGGACCTAATGGCCCTCTACCAGTCTTCTGTGATTTAAATGTGGCTGGATCCTCGTCTGGTTTGTAGTCCTGTGAAGATGTTTGAAACAGTCAGCAAGTCTCAAAGTTTGGTCATGCATTGAAAGTAAACACTCAGTTTTCCTTACCTTAGTGTCCACCTGAGACCTATCAGCAATGTCGATGTGTACAACCTCGACCTTCTTCCACTGTTCGGGGTCAAGCTTATGAACCTTCAAAAAAAAACAAAGAACAAGGTTAGATCCTTACAGATACTTGTTTGTTTGTTCGATGTCCTACTTATTGTGGTGATAATGTCGACCGCCTACTCACATTTTCCTGTTCACCGAGGTCAGGCTTGTGCCACGTCTCAATCATGACTAAAAAATTATCCTTCATGTACTCATTCTATAAAAAAAAACAACACATTTAATATACAGACACACTGCTGTTAAAAGTTATATTAAGTAAATCTTACGACCCCATACTTTGATTTAGTAAGAATTGATCAAAAGTGACAGTAAATACCTTTATATTTTTATACACACACAAAAAAAACCTTCAAATAAATGCTAAAAAATAATATGCAGCACAGCTGTTTTCAACATAAAATGAGAAATGGTTCTTGAGCAGCAAATCAGCATATTAGAATGATTTCCGAAGGATCATGTGACACTGAAGACTGAAACTGTAATGTGGCTGAAAATTCAGCTTTGCATTACATATTTTGAAATATATTAAAATAGAAAACAGTTATTTTAAATTGTAAGAATATTTCACGATATTACTGTTTTTTATATCAAATAAATACAGCTTTGGTGAGCAGAAGAGACATTAAAAAACATTTTAAAACTTTTGAAGAGTAGCGTATAGATAAGAATAAAACCTGTTTACTTGTTATAGGAATTGCTAATGCTGATTATTAAAAGAAAATATTTAATTTAGTTACACACAGGTGTCTCATACACTCACCGTAAGAACTGGAGCAATGAATGATGTAGGGGCCGCATGAAAAAGGGAAAGGGAAAACTGTTTTAAAAGTGAGTTCTGTGTTTAATAGATTAATCATGCATTATTGTGTACATTTAGCTCCAGGACTAAGCTGTGTTACTGTGTGCGTTACCTGTGCGGCAGTAAGGATAAGCATTCCAGGCCTTCTCATGGATATTCAGAGCAGATGAAGGGGCCAGTAACCGTACAAAAGTTGGCACTTTACTGTATAAGACAGAGAAAATCCCAAAGAAAAACTGAAATGCAGACTGTAACCAATTTTACTGCTTGATGGCACTTTAATATACAACACCACAGCACTGATTAATTATTATTATTATTATCACCTCTGCAAGCGGTAGATCTTGTGCGTGTACTGTCCTTTCTCTCCATCCTCCTTCTCGTAGGGCTCGTTTTTCAGGACCTCCACCCCATCTCCACCTCCTGTCTCATTCTTACTAGCCTCTGCTACAGAGAACAGCTGACCCACCTGGTACTGCATGTGAGAGAATAACGTCAACGAAGACTTGGTCATATGCAAATTATTACAGTATAACGTGACAAAGAAAAAGACATTCAGAATGAATGTATAATGTCATGTCACGGCTGCATACAAAGCTGGGAGAGGATTCAACATCTACATAAATAAATAACCAATTACAGGCTGGTGTGTCATAAACAAACGGACACAATTATAGAGGAAGTGTTGACGTCCTATGTTCTGATAAAAAAAAAAGAGGGAAACTGGTGTCTAACGTTTCTAGCAAATGCAAATGTACCTCTAGTTAGACAAACAGCAGTTTTGACAAACACCAATCCTATTCCTAACCATTTTATTCTTATACTGGCTGCGACAGTAAACTGATAATTATTTGAATGTTATGACACACAACCAATAAATTGTTGATATTAAAAAAAACATACTAATTTCTAAACATTAAAAATAAAACAATAACAATCATTTTAAATGGCACAAGTGAATAAAGGGCATCCAAATTATAATGTACACCACACTATGAAAATAACGATTGCACTGATATTAAAGTTCTGGTTGACACCAATGGGTAACACTTTACAATAAGGTTTCATTAGTTAACATGAACTAATAATGAACTGCACTTCTGCAGCATTTATTCATCTTTGTTCATGTTAATTTCAACATTTACTAATACATTAATAAAATCTAAAGTTGCATTAATTATAAGTTAATGCGCTGTGAACTAACTTGAACAGCTGTAGTTTTGGTAATGGTTAGTTCTTGTTAGTTAATATATTAACTAATGTTAACAAATGAAACATTGTAAAGTGTTACCCTAATTTGTGTACGTCAATAAGTCATGAAACATGGTGAAAAAGGCATAACATTATAACACACAGTATGAAAAATGGACATTTGTTCTAAGATTTGTTAAAGATTACAGTTAACAGTGTTTTAAAAATAAGAGTTTTGAGTGTTAGATGACATTATACAGTGCTGGTCAGAAATATTTGTCAGAATAATTATTAATATATTTTTTATTTTATTTTATTATGCAATGATACATGGCATCATGGATTCGATCAAATACCAACAGATAAAAAAAAAATCAAAACCTGACAGCCTGTGCTAGAAATCTTGGGATGTTCCAACAAACAAGACAAAAATGGGCACTGAGCACAAAACCAAGTATCAGCATTGGCCATCCCAGTCCCCTAAACTGAACCCTATAGAAAATGAGTGGGGTGAACTGAAGAGAAGAAGCACCAACGTGAACTTATGAATCTGAAGGATCTGGAGAGATTCTGTACGAAGTAATGTTCTCTGATCTCTTGTTAGGTGTTCTCCAAACTCATTAGGCATTATAGGAGAAAACAAAGAGCTTTTAACTTGGCAAAAGGGGGTTGCAAAAATAATTAATAAAAGGGGGCACATAATTGTTCTCAATGTGTTTTGGAGAAAAACATTTATTTCATAATGTGATTTCCCCCCCACTTACAATTCTTTAACTTCAATAAAAGGATCAATTTTTGCATTTTTTTTAATAAAATATCAAAAGGATAAACAATGCAGATTTACATTTTACAGCCATCTTGATCAATATTTACCAAGGGGGCAAATAATTCTCACCAGCACTGTATACATTTAGAGGAACATTGATGCTAATGATAAATAAAAACCTCTCAAATTATAATGTAGGCTGATAACCCAAATTAAGGTACCAATATATTGTGCATAGAAAAAAAATTCATAGAATTTTTTATAAGTATACTTATTTTCATTAAACCAGTAAAAAAAGAAAAAACACTGACATTCAGACACAAATGAGTCATGCAGCTCCCTGACTGCACATATACTGGGCTGGTCTACAAAACCAGCTTCCACAATGTGCTTCCCGATTCAGCTGGTTGGGTCGTTTATTCTCTATAAGTTTATATTATGTGGCCTTCTGCACAGGTGAAGAGAAAGGAATGCAACTACACATGCCAAACCTGTGTCTGTTTTCACTGCCGTTTAGACAAGAACAATTGACTTCTTCAATAATGATTTCTTATTCAAACACTACTGACACAGAGCGATGGCAGCAAGGTGCTCCGATACCCAGGGTAAAAATACACCAACCTAAATCAGCAAATACTATAACAGCGAGGGCAAGAAATGACAGGGATAAACAAATTCAACCTTTGCTTGGTAAGCTGGAGCAGAGATGATACCCTTGATAAAGTCTGATAAGCCTAGTCTCGGGTTACAATTAATTACAGGCTGTCCTTGTCTACTGTATACACTATAGGCATGCAGTTAACTAGGGCACTTTCCCACAAACCTCAGACTGTTTCAATTCATTATTTCGAATGTCTAAACTCTTGGCCATCAGAACAAACTGGGTGGAGTCTGGAAAACTGGAGTCACAGAAAAACTGGCATCATGCCAAGATACATCCATGAGCCTCAAGATGGACTTTTCAAATTATGACTAGGTTACAATTGATTTTTTTAAAAATAAACATACAACAAAGAAGCACCTGTAAGACCCCAAGAAACAGTAAAAATTACTACTTACCTCTTCAACAGAAATGGGCAAGACGACTCGACTGAAAGACAAAACAGAAATGCAAGGAAGTCAGCAAAAATACCATGTGACCTTTGAACTTTACATTCATTCAATCATATTTGTTTTGTTTTTTGACATCCCTGTATCCCACAAACCCTGTTTTTTACTGTCTGAGTCATAATATCTTAAATAAAAGCACTTCATGTTTCTTTGCAGTCATTAAACACAGCCATGATCAGATATTGTTTCATAATGAGTTTACTTCAGTTCAATATTCAAATTAGAATAAGATATTAGCCTATATGGGTGTGATGTGGCATTTTTTTTAAAGGTATAGATGTCAGCATACTAAACATTATTAAAGCTCCAGTGAATTTTACTACAACCAAGTGCAACAAAATACAAAATTATTAAATTAAACTGATGAAGAAATTCAGACTAATCTTTTAAAACCAGGATTATGTTGCACATTCTTCCCCTGATAATTCTCATGTTTTCCATGACGTGTCAAATTCAAAGTTCTTAATCACCATATTCAAACCACATGGAGTATTATAAAAACCAATATGGATGTAATGACATCAAAGTAGTGACGTTTAATGTAATATTTTACAATTCATATAGATCAGACAGCATTTCATTTCACTTTTTATGGAAATATTACGGTCATAATTTGTTTAGAGGACTAATTGCCGAATATGTAGTAAGTGAACTTTGACGTGCACACCGGTGCATAATGACGCGTGACCCGCAGAACGGTAGCATGTGACAATCACACTTACTACCTGCAGTTTTTAAAAAAATGTATAACTTCAAAAAAAGTAAAGCTTTTTTTCTTTGACTTTGAAAACATTCATAATTCATCAGTCAAAATATCAACATAAATCTACTTCATTTGGCTGCTGCCGGCGAAAGTTACCAGACCCGCGCCGCAAACTCAAAGCTCAGCGCGAGATCAAAACTTCGGCTCAGTTAAATCATTCAAAATTACTTACAATTCCTTTATTAACATGTTATCTCCTTCGGTTCCGCGTGCCAAACATTCAAGCTAGTTTAAAGAGGGTTTATTATTCGACTCTTCGGTCCTCCCCGCCGCGTCTTGTTTCAGTTCAAGTTCCTGGATTTCTAATTTCTTTTAATTCATTTCCTGAAAAATGTCGACAGGATCGCGGCGTCGTCACGGCAACCACACCCACTTGAATGAAGACCGGGCCATGGGCGAATCTGATTGGTCAGGAGCCGCACATAAACGCTTGCGACACACCCTGCGCTGATATTTAACTCGCACAAACACAGGAGGAGATTTAGAAACTGTGAGTCCACATGGATGTCGATGTTCTTGTTCCGCTGGTTTTAAATTTAGGATGAGGCCTCATCAGAAGGGTGTGAAGTTGTTTTTGTATATAAATCTAAGCCTATCCTGTCCCAGACCTGACTTTCCAGTCAGCTTGACGATCATAATACTCTTTCTCCATTCCACGTTAATGTATGTTCAGCACTTGTGCTACAACACAACAATGTTTATGGTGAAAATGCTGTTCTCCTCTTCCATAGTCTGGTTTTAAAACATTTGATAAATATTAAACTCTCTCTATATATTAAATTATATTATTCACACACACACACACACACACACGTAATTAGAGAGAGAGATTTGGAACCTTCAATACTTTTTCAGGATTAAAAAAAAAGAACAGCCTCATACTGAGTATATATATATATATATATATATATATATATGTATATTAAAATATATACATACACTCTTAGAAGAAAAGGTTCTATATAGAACCTTAAAATGTTCTATCAATACGTATTTGGAACCCCTAAAAGGTTCTATACAGAACCCTTTTTAAGAGTTCAATAATAAGAACCGTTTAGGGTTCTTTGTAACCAGGAAAAGGGTTCCATATGGAACCTTTTGGGTTCATTCATTATCATTTGTTTTGTCCTTTCCGGACAAATATTTCTATTATTGACAAACAATTGACAAACAAATCAAGACCCTAAAATGTATTTATGAATGCATGTGAATGATCACAAAATATATGATATGAAGATATGGGGGTTAGAAAATTTATATATTTATATAATTTTATGTTATGTAGATATTAATCAATATCACATGAAGAGTGCCATTTCAGTTTATCTCCTCCAAAAATCAGCATGATTAAAATGTGATATTACTGTTCTTAAGATATTACTTAAAATGTGATATCACCTAAAGGATTATTAGGAACACCTGTTCAATTTCTCATTAATGCAATTATCTAATCAACCAATCACATGGCAGTTGCTTCTATGCATTTAGGGGTGGGGTCCTGGTCAAGACAATCTCCTGAACTCCAAACTGAATGTCAGAATGGGAAAGAAAGGTGATTTAAGCAATTTTGAGCATGGCATGGTTGTTGGTGCCAGACGGGCCGGTCTGAGTATTTCACAATCTGCTCAGTTACTGGGATTTTCCCGCACAACCATTTCTAGGGTTTACAAAGAATGGTGTGAAAAGGGAAAAACATCCAGTATGCGGCAGTCCTGTGGGCGAAAATGCCTTGTTGGTGCTAGAGGTCAGAGGAGAATGGGCCGACTGATTCAAGCTGATAGAAGAGCAACTTTGACTGAAATAACCACTCGTTTTTGCAGCAAAAAAAACCTGTGTGAAAATCAGTTTGGTATTCAGTGAGATATGATTAATTAAATGCGCTGACACCTCATTACACCTGACAAACAGATTACACTGAATGGAGAGGATGACCGGTTTAAGATGGCGGCCCCACGACCCGTCCGTGCCAATAGGCAGTAGCGATGGATAGGGCGTCTATCTATATGTCCATGGACTAACCTCTTACAATAACAAAGGTGTATAATGATGACGGAACGCCTTTGTTATTGTAAGAGGTTAGTGACTCCTGGTGGTGAAAAAATCCTGCATATAGTGTACCTTTAAGTGAGTGTATATATATGTAGCCTACCACCAAACAAGTTGTATTTTGTTCAATTCCATTCTGTTAGACATCCCATTCCGTTAATTTTATAGAAATTTAAATTACAACAAAGACATGTTAAAACAAATGCTTTTGGGGAAAAAAATAGATAACAGTTCTCCAAAAGGTTGAGCAAACTCTTGACTGATGCCACACTGCCATCTACTGTACAGTTTACTAACATAACCCAAAAATACACAAATATTTCATATACAAATTATTGTTTTTATTTACTTTTCACATATCTAATATTTGTTGGGACATTTATTAAAAAAGATGCTATATAGTAATAGAATGGTCTAACCAAAAGCATAGTACAGTAAACCACCCCAAAAAAAAAATACTGTACATACACAAAACTAAAACCACAACCTAAAAAAAGTAGATAAATCAACAAAATAATCAACAAAAGACACAAAAAAATACAATACAGTACAGAGAGAAAACATTGGTTAAAGCAGATCTTTCCCACTTTTCTTCCCTCTTACATATCTGTGTATGGGCATTTTCCACATACATTGTCATACACATACAATTGGGTATAATAAACCAACATTTAAAATAAAAAAAGTGATTGTGACTACTAAGAAAATAATGAAAATTTAAGGTATGGCAGTGAAAAAAGTGCTACTTTCGTTCTGAGAGCAAATGCTTCACTCTCACATTCATTACGCTTAGTACAGTACTGCATTAGATTGGAATTCATTTGCTATATCCAGGCATGTTCAAGCCAGCAAATGCAGTCCATCACAGACTCACGTCTAGCCTCTGCTCTGATGAAATATTCACGACGAGTGTGACAGACAATAAAAGGATGTTGCTGGGTGGATCTGACCTGTTCCTCTTCAAAGGGGTCATAAAACAAGGTCACATTTATTACCACTGTTGAGAAGACAACATGCACAAGTCCTATTTACTCACCCAGGATCTTGTACAAATGATTGTGTTTTTTTTTTTTTTCAGGTACTTTTACAGTAAATACTGTTAAAGTGAGTGAGATTGTGACTTAACCAAAACCGTAACAAATCAAATCAATCTTTTGAAGAGAAATGTTCAGTGATCTGCACAAAACACGGAATCTACATCAACACTGGAATTCATGATTAAAATCCTTTTGACCGATTTTACATCAATTTCAACAGTTTTCTGAGCGCCAAATCCATCTGTCACAGGACTTATAGGCTAAAAGACCCGATTTTGCTTAATTTGATGTATTCACCACGTTTTGTAATTCGTAATACTGACCTGCAACCCATTACAAGCTACAAGAATATGGATCTTCCAAAGCGATTGTCATCAAGCATGTCTAAAAAATCTCCCTTTTTTTAATCGCTATGATTTAAATTCAAGTTCTTATCACTATAAGGTGTGTATTTGGTGTCTGTATCATTCATCTTGACCAACACAGAAACCTTCTTACTTTTTCAATTCTAGTAAGCACCGTATAGTTAAAAGGTAACCAGACCAGAAATCTTGAGAAAATACACAAAAAATCTTGTATCTTGTATGGCTAACAAGGTCTTCTTGTACTTTGAGGTTGAAACAGAAAGCATATACTCTGTAATGGCTAACATAAGCACCTCTGCAATTATGAACCCTGTAGTGCAAGATAGATCCGATAATGGCCTCTAGTCTCTCAACCGAGAGTACACGGTGTCTCATTTTTTTTGTACCCCAAGACGCACATATGTGACAAAGGAAAGCTTACAGGTGAAGACATCTGATATGAATTATTACTCTAAAAGTGAAACACCCTGAATAATTGAGTCTTTACAAGGAAATGAAAACATTTTGTGCTAACAAGTAAAGCTAAAACAGTAGTACTGCATTGGTAAGTGGTAAGGTACGGTACGATCGGTGTGGAATAGTATTGCTGGTTAAGATCAGTCACTCTTGATCAAAATGTCAGGCTAATGCCGCTTTAACAGAAACCTTTTAGATCCACATATTAGCTTCTGAATGGACTGATATGTACAGTATGCAGCATGTCACCCATAGATGTAGTGGATCTGCAGCCCAAAGTAAATAATAGCACAGCTGTCATACTAGTTTACATTAGCCTCAGGTGTCCTTTAAGATCAGCCCAGTTCACAAAAAGCTGCAGTTTCATGCTCATGCTTTCCAAAGCATGCTTTCATATATGAGTTTTAAGTGTAAAATCTGTCCACTTCCAATAAAGCCCCATATGGGACAGATAACACGCAGAATCGTTCTGCTTCAAGGTAGTTTGTCAGTTTTTCATATTCAAACCGCAATGGAGGGTACTTGTCTCGCATTTCAGCAGCTTTAAGAGCTGAAAGAAACAAAATGAGTGAGGTAACAATGCAGAATGTGACTGAAACAAGCTTGGCCATGAAGTCGAATACTATTGTGGTGTGTAATACTCTGTTCAGGAAGGCTTCCTCAAACCTGAGAGAATTTCACTGAATTTGCTTCGTCTTTTGTATCATCATGGTGTGAAATTCAAGAATCAAGCTAAAATTGCAAGAAAAGAGGGCCATTCTCATCTTTCTTGTCAGGCAGTACATAAAGACTTGATGTCCTTGTCTGTTTCAAGGACAAGGGAATCATTTGTTTCTAAACCTGCCTTTCACAGTGTCCATTCAGTCCATTGCATGTAAACGTGTGTTTGTGTGGCACGTTGCGAGACTCTCGGTTGCTTTGGCTGTATTTTGTGTTTGTGTGCCTGTTGAGAATATGTGAGTGAGTAAAGTGTGTCAGACAGAAGGAGGGACCAGGGAGGTGTTTATCACTCTTTTTGTGACCTGCAGTTCTCTTCCCCCACCGTCCTGCCTCCTGCTCTTCGACTGCTGTCATCTGTGTGTTTGCAGTTAGACAAAGGCCTCGGGGTTGGTGCTGTTGTTGATCTGGACGTAGATCTTTGGGTCTTCCTCGCGCTCCTGCTTCTCTCTGCGCAGCCGCCTGCCGTAGCACAGAAGATAACTGGGCAGGCAGAATCCCAGCATGGTCAGGATCAGTAACCCCACGTTTACCTACACAGACAGACAAAAGCTTGAATTTGAGCAAGCGCAAATTAAATTTGAAGGCATTTTTGCTGAATAACAAACTAAAATGTGGTTTGTGTGTGGAGGAGAGAGATAAAAAGGGTTTAAGACTTGTCACAACGTAACATAAGTAGTGACAAATCTTTTCTCCCAT